TCCAGTAACCGTTAAAGGGGTTTCCCATAGCCCATGTTTGATCGTCTCCATCTTCACCATACCAAGCATCTTCGTGCTCATGTATCTTGCCGCCGTCAATCATGATCGCATGAGTGTATATTTTGGGCTTAAGTTTGTCCCAATCTACTGGACACCCACCGTTGGTGGGGAAGGCTAACTCTTTCCTCGGTCGTCGGTGCTGGCATATAACTTTGTGTCCTTTTATTACCCACTCGTCCTTAGGTTCCTTAACTTTGACGCTCGGCGGAGGCGGTACATTGATCCTCAGTTTCTTCGCTTGACTTTCTGATTCTTGTTCACGATTTTCTGGTGCACGACTTTTACTCTCAAGTCTTAGTTGTGCAGACGCTAGCCTTGCCTGGATGTTCGGGCTCTCTTGTTTCTTTAACCATTCAATAACTCGAGCCCTGCAATCAGCGTTATGCGGTTTGTGCTCTTTGTCTCCTCTCACGAGGCATTTACATCCGTAACACCCCGGTGTCGGTCCCATTTTCAAGTATTCGTGCTTTTTAACTGCAATCCCTCGTGCAATGAGCGGCTTCGTCTCAGGCGCAGTTAACTCTTGCTCTGGTAGGTCCATCGGCACCATGATCCTAGACTGTAATTCCATTCCCGCCGCACTCGGGTCAGGCTGCCAAGGTAACCCCTTTATTTCGGTGATCTCGGCAATATTCCATCTTTCCGCATCACATCCTTTTCTTTTAAACTCGCGCGCCTTGATTGCACCATTTGGCGCCCCAATAATCAGCTCTTGACTTTTCTCGTTTATGCCTAGAAACACTCCACTTTCCCATCTCATTTCGAGCTTATCGCGGCCGTTGTGCGCAGGTGTCTTCAAATACATGACACACTCACCAAACTCAGGAATTTGCTTGTTAAACTTTCTTCCCCTGCACCTCTCATGGGCCGTCTTCCCATCCGTGTCTATTGTGAACTTGTTAATCAAAGAGGACGCGTAACTCACCAGCCAAGGTATTATCTGATGACTTTCACCAAACTCAGTCTTATAATTGGCATCCAAGGCGCTCTTTAACGTTCTGACCTGACCCTGCACTGTCCCAACGGCTCTCTCGATTTCGCCGTTGGCCTTTGGGTCGCCTGCTGGGCTAACTTGAACCCCCATGTCAAGATCACACGAAGCTTTAATTCTATTAGCCAGTGCCGTGATTGCCGCTTCCCCATCACTTTGGAGTATCACCCTCTTGTATCCGGTAAAACTTATCATGTCACATCCCACCTTTACCGAGTACGAGTCCACTCCCTTTTTCATCAACACTCTGCTCCAAGTTAATTTGGTCCCCCTGCAATGCATGACTAAAATTGGATTGCCATTGCTGGTGCTTTCACCTTCATCCTTTCTTCCTTTAAGCCACATGTAGTCCATTGAAATCACTGGCACGTTTCCGTTCCCCTCTCTTTTGCGTCTACGGCGATTGCGCCTGCGCGCTTTCCCTCTAACGCAATGTGGGCACCAGCTTCGGCAAGGTAAATGCGTTGTGTTGTGCGCTTCAACTTCCTCCTTTGAGGGCCTCATATCACAGTAAACTTTCTTTGGTAACTCCGCTTCATCACTCACAAATACATCTTCCACATCACTCAACTCACTCTCGTTGCCCCCACTTTCACTCCCTTCGTCTCCTTCGGTATTAAAGACGTTTAAGTTTTCGCTTGGTCTTACGGGTGATGGGGGGCTTAGTAGAATAGATCCGCCTCCAGGGTACCCGGCCGCGGAAAACCTTCAGCTGCGCTCACTTCACTCCTGGGATTGACGGCCTCCGCTGGTCCCTTCGGCACCGTGATGTTGAACTGGAACGTGCCATTCTTCTCATGAATGGTTGTGGACTTACCGGTCGTCTTGTTCATGATGTGGCTCAGGGATCTCCCGTTAAGATCCGTGTCGAACACAACTCTATTTCCAACGTTTACCATCTCTCTGACTGATCCCAGGACCTTGTTGACTTCTGCTACCTGGATCGGCATACTGACGGCGTTCCCATGCACATTTTTACCTGTGATCACTCGTTGACCATAATTCTTTATCGTGGTCCCATTTGCTGCACTGTAGTGTCGTCCCTGCTTTGACGCGTCTGCATGTTTAATAGGGAAATGAGTGCCAACTTTGGGGGGCCCCACTGTATTGTATGCGCCGGAGTCCACGGTAACCACGATCGTCTCATGCGTTGCACTTGGCGGTGGCACCGCGTTAATCTCTGGATCACAGCCTCGCATCTCAATTAGCCAAATTTCCTTGCCCTTCTCCAGCCAACTTTTTTCCTGCCTTACGCTTTTACTTATTCTCTGGTCCCATTGACTAGTATGATTACAATCTCCGTCACACTGGTGTTCCTGATAAATTATTTTCAAATTCATCGCGTTGTTACGTGCCGTTTTCTTTCTGGCGTAATAGGGCAGGTCCCATTTCTCGTTAACCTCCTCGGTTGCGGGCTGGTCTAGCGGCACGTTCATTGCTTCCTTCATCTCAACGCTGAGAACATGCTGCGGTTGGCCGAACGAGGTGGTTTGTTCACCCTCAGTGTTCACTGCAGGTTTCTCTTGCTCAACTTCGTTGGCGGTCTTCTTGGGGCCCGGGCAGTTAATGGCGATGTGCCCTTTTGCGCCACACTTGTAACACTCACGCTCGCTGTGCGGGGTGAACTTTCCTTGGCCTCCGTAACTTCCACCCCACGAGCTACTTCCATTACCACCCTGTTTGCCTCCGATCTTACCTTTCACATAGGATCCGTAAGTGGCTCGGTAACCTTCGCCTTTTCCGCCCTTGCCACCTTTACCTCCTTTGGTGAACTGTTTAGGTCTTGTGCAGTTTCTGGCTAAATGGCCCATGCCTCCACAATTGTAACACCTGGGGCCCCCTCCTTTGCCTTTGCCTTTGTTTACGGCGTCAATTTCTTCATATTCTCCACCGTCACTCTCATTGGCCCAGGACCCGTAATTCCACGATCCATCTTCTGACCACCAGTTTCCGTCTTCGTCAACCCATCCTGTTTGGTCCCAAACGTTTTCGGACCCTTGACTCATCTCGCTGATGTTCCCAATGTCCACCGCATCCATATTTTTCGTATCTGAGTCAAGTTTCTTTTTACGCGCCCAGTCTTCGCACTTTGCATACAATTTCTGAAATGAGTCAATGTTAAGCGCGTCGGGCGTTCGCCAACATGCCTGCTGCCATTCGTCGAACCAGTCGTTCGCGTGCACCATTATGGCCCTGAGTGCGGTGACTTTAAAAGGAAGAGGCAGCGAGTAATATTTACCATATTTCTCAAGGTTTTCTGCCAATGCGCTCCATTCCTCAAGTCGGGTAACGGTGTCAGTGATCTTCTTGGGCGGCTCAGGATTCATGGCATGCGTCATCTTTGATGATAGGGTCGCTCCGGTTACCGCCGAGTACCATTTGTAAACCTTCTGCCAAGCCATGATTCCATCTCCATCCATCAGTCCCTTTAATTTTCCTCTGGCTTCCGCACCTTCAAGTTTCTCGTTCAGAATGTACCATAAGTCTTCCTCCATCTGAGTTTTGTCTCCCTCGGTGAACTCCTATTCGCCTTTGTTGTCGTCCTCTGCCTGTTTGGCTTGGTTCGCCTCCAGGTACTCGCTTGCAGTTAATCGGCCGTTCATTATGCGTATAATGTCGTCATCGTCCTCCTCTGGCACGACTCCGTCAAGCGTCTCCAACTTCTTGTTTAGCATCTTCAGTGCCGGTCGGTAACTCGGCTTCACTTGGGCTAGTGCGTTCAAGAACTTGTCGTTCCAGTCTCTGAACTTTGCTCTTTGTCCACTGAAGTTCTTTAGCGCCTGGAATGCCTTATATTCGCTTATCGGTTTACTGCTCCCGTGCTTGCTTCCGCTTCCTCCTTTAATCGTTTCCGAGATCTGGCCAAACCTTTCGATCAACTTTTCTTGTACTTTACTGTTGGTCTCCAACTCGGTGACTCTTTCCACCAATCTGCGAGCATCCCTTTCGAGTGCAGCGTTTCTCTTTGTGATCGCTAACAGCATGCTGTTGGTCTTGTGGGCACTCTGTAACATTTGGAATGCTTCGGCGTTCGATACCTCCCTTCGATCCTGTGTCACTCGCTCGTTAATGAACGTTGCGAGTCCGAAATGGTTCGCGAGTAGCGCCGTCTGAACGTAACTGAAGTCTCCGTTCAGGTATGCTTGCTCGCACAGATCGTTGAAGCGATTCGGGTCCATGTTGACCCATGCATCTCTGTTTGCCGGCACATTGAGATTAACTGGCGGGTCGCCCTGCCCAGGTCTGGCCGCAGCTGCCGCTGCCGCCGCCATGGCAACCGCGCTCCGCTACCATGCAAAACCCCGAGGAGGGTTCTGCACGGGAGCCTGGCAATAATGATAACGATAGGTCACCTTTATACTCCCGAACGGCAAAGCAGGTCTATGTAGCTTCGGCCGTTAAACACTTGAGCCAAAGGCAGCAGGGTTGCTATTCCTCCCCTGTCACCCGCACGCTTGCATGTTAACACCTCCTCCTCCTCCTCCTCCTCCTCCTCCTCCTCCTCCTCCTCCTCCTCCTCCTCCTCCTCCTCTTCGTCGCGAACTGCGGCCCTCAGGACGCAGCGAAGCCTTGAGCGCTCCCCCTCCCCTCCTTCTAAAAATCTCGGCGCGGCACGCCCCACGGGGGAAGGCAGAGGAGGCGACCATACTCAGAAGGCTCAGACGGCCTCCGGCCTTCTCGGAAGCTTCCCGGGGCCCCGCAGCCTTCTGAGGGGGCCTGCCCCCTCGTGCTTCCCCCTTTGGCGCGCCACCGCGACACCCATGCACCTCCAAGCAGGGCTGAACCTAAACGGTGCTTCTCGTGTTCGCTTCGCTTCTCGCTCCTCCCCGTTGTGCCTTCGCTTCGCCTTGGAGGGCAAAACGGAGCGAAAGCCAAGGCGGCCCACGAGAGGGCCAAGACACCGTGTGGGCCCAGGCCCTGCCTCCAGACCCCCCCTCGGGGGAGGCTCCTGGCGGCATCCCATTCGTCGGGGCAGACCCGTCGCCTCGCAGGGCAGCGGAGGGGCGGTGGTCTCCCGCGACGAGGGAGGGGAGGCTAAGACTGAGCAGGCGGATCCGGAGCGACGAGAGGGGAGGAGCGTGAAGAGCTTGCTGCGACGGTGGTACAGTCGGGGCGTTGACCTAAGGAACCCTAAATAAGGAACGAGGCCCCTTTTTCCATCAGTGAACCTTCGATTTCCTGTCTGAGACATAAGGAAAGCCTGAGGCAAGCTGTGAAACACTGAAGGAACGCGGAGCCCCTCCCCAACGAAAAGGGTTCCTTCTTCAGGGCCCCGACTGTGCATGGGGCACGCTGCTCCTGAGCTGGCAGCCGAGCGGCACGGAGCCCCGGAAGCAGATGGGCAGAAACCGAGATGCAAGTACGTCGCCAACCGCTCAGGAAAGCATGCGCCGAGGAAGAGCGGGATGGGGGAGGGGGGGCAAGCAGCACCGTGAAACCGAGGATGGAAATAAGTTTGACTTTGGCCCTCATGCAGCTACTGGGGCAGCACCGACACAACGCTGGAGGCTCGACTGCGCCTGTGAGACCCACAGCGCTCTGCCAAAACGTATACAATAAGCGACGGTTTTGCCTCGAGCCAGACACCTGGCTGAGAGCAATGAGCCTGGCCACAGCCTCGAGATGCTCAAGGAAGCCTGGCAGCAGAAACTTCCCCGTGCACACCAGGAGAAAACACCGGGACAGCCTGCTGCCTAGCACTGCATGCCTTGGACCCACAGCAGAACAGGAGAGTGGGGAGGAGGAGAGTGAAGAAGATTGACGAGGGGAGGAAGATGCGCAATGTCGAAACGCTATCAGGGAGCTGGACCACACACACGTTCGCATCGGGCTCTCGCCCAGGGCAGCCGCGTCATGCGCATCCAGCTTCATCAGAGTAATAAGACCTCCAGCACAACGCTGAAACGAGGAAAGCTTGAGCTGAGATCGCCTTCACACTGTGCGTCCTGGAAGAAATCCGCCGACCCCTCGGCGTGTGTGAGACGCTTCTCCGTTTGACTCGTCGTCGTCGTCGTCGTCGTCGTCGTCGTCGTCGTCGTCGTCGTCGTCGTCGTCGTCGTCGTCGTCGTCGTCGTCGTCGTCGTCGTCGTCGTCGTCGTCGTCGTCGTCGTCGTCGTCGTCGTCGTCGTCGTCGTCGTCGTCGTCGTCGTCGTCTCGTCGTCGTGTCGTCAGTTGAGTCGGTTCCCTCCCCCTTCTTCCCATCCCTGACAGGGGAGGGCGGGGAGGAGAGGGGGGAGGAGAGGGAAGAGGGGGGGGGAGGGAAGAGGAGGGGGAGAGGGGGGGGGGAGGGAAGAGGGGGGGGGAGAGGGAAGAGGGGGGGGGGGGAGAGGGAAGAGGGGGAAGGAGGGGGGAGGGGGGGGAGAGGGGGTGCCCGGGGCAGCCCCCCCCCCCCCCCCCCCCCCCGGATCCTGGGGGAGGGGTCCGCGGGCGGTCGCCGGCGGAAGTCCCGGGGGAGGCCCCGCCCTCGGGGTCGGCGGCACCAGCCGGAAGGCCCTCGCAGTAAAAGCTTGTAGCGTGTTCTGCACAGCCTGGGACTGACTGTGTAAGGCTCGCATCCTCTTCCTCCTCCTCCTCCTCCTCCTTCTCCTCCTCCTCTACCACCGGCTCTTCCTCCTCCTCCTCCTCTTGCGCGCCTTCGGGCCCGCTTCCTCCCGTCAGGGGGAGGCCGGGGATGCCGGTTGCCTGCCATTTCGGCCCGCCTGCGTGCGATGTGCACCGCGCACTTCCTGGATCCATGACTCTATGACTCCATGACTCCTTCTCCTCCTCCAGCTCCTCCTCCTCCTCCTTCTTCTCGTCCTTCTCCCCCTCCTCAATTCATTCTCCTTATACATAATCCCACCAGCCCTCTGGGCGTCGGTGGCTTAGGGAATTTCCTCTTCCACCCCTCCTTCTTCCCCTTCGGGGAGGGGTTTACCCCTCCCCCTACCCCCTCCCCATGGACCTGGACGGGGGGGGTCGCGAGGTGTCGGAGCGTCCAAAACGGCCTCGGCGATGAAGACAAAATCACTGGCTTTACTGAGGTTTTGGCCCCATTTTGGCCTCCTGACGGGGGGACCCTGATGAGTGCCCCCCCCTCCTGTGGTGATCGATCTCACCCAAGATGGCCCAAAGATGGCCCTCAAGGCTCCCAAGGGTGCCCCAAGAGGGCCCCAAGAGGTGGCCAGGAAGCCCCAAGAGGCCCCCAGGATGCCCCCAAGAGGCTCCCAAGAGACCTCCAAGAGGCCCCAAGAGACCCCTCAAGGCACCCAAGATGCTCCAAGAGGCCTCGGCGAGAATGCCACATCATTGATTGTACTGAGGTTTTGGCCACATGTTGGCCTCTTGGGGGGGGGCACTGATTAAGATGACTCCGAGAGCGCCTGGGAGAGCCCAAGATGACCTCCAAAATGGCTCAAGACATCCCAAGATGTCTCAGAATGGCTCCCACGATGCTCCAAGATGCCCCAAGACCGTTCCAAGTCGGCTCCAAGTGGCCAAAGAGCTCCCCCAGGAGGCCCCGAAGAGGCCAAAACCTTAGGAAATCCCACCAGCCCTCTGGGCGTAGGTGGTTTAGGGAGTGTCCTCTTCCAACCTCATTCTTCCCCTGCGGGGAAGCGTTTAATCAATGTTCCCTATTAATAAACACCCCCTCCCCCAGGCGACTGGGGGCCAACCAGGGTCCATGACAACACCCCCCCACCATTCCTTGTAAAAAACCATACAAAACACACTCTGCCTCCAAATTCGGAACATGCGCAGCCAACCCGATGCGGCCCCCCCCCCCACCATCCCTGTCAAAAACCAATACAGAGTACACTTGGCGGCGGCGGCGGCGGCTGCGGCGGCTGCAGCGGCGGCGGGCGGCGGCTGCGGCGGCTGCGGGCGGCGGCGGCGGGGCGGCACGGCGGCGGCGGTGGCGGTGGCGGCAGCGGCTGCGGCGGCGGCGGTTTGGCAGCGGGTGGCGGCGGCGGCGACGGCGGCGGCGGCGGTGGCGGCAGCGGCTGCGGCGGCGGCGGCGGCGCGGCGCAGCGGCGGCGCCGGCGGCGGCGGCGGCGGCGGCGGCGGCGGCGGCGGCAGGCGGCGGCGGCGGCGGCGGCGGCGGCGTGGCGGCGGCGGCGGGCGGCGGCAGCGGCGGCGGCGGCGGTGGCGGCGGCGGATTGGCCCCCAGTAGCTACCCATCCAAAGACGACTGCTGAATATGCTGAGGCTCGGGCCAGACTCGGGTGCCACGTATGTGTTGGGAGGTCGGGTGGGAGTGAGCGAGACGGCTTGCGGGCGGGGAGGGTGTCTTGACCCCTCCCCCTACCCCCTCCCCTGGACCTGGACGGGGGGGTTCGCGAGGTGTCAGGGCGACCAAAACGGCCTCGGCGAGGAAGCCAAAATCATTAGCTTTACTAAGGTTTTGGCCCCATTTTGGCCTCCTGAGGGGGGGACCCTAATTAGGGACCCCCCCTCCTGTGGTGATCGATCTCACCCAAGATGGCCCAAAGATGACCCTCAAGGCTCCCAAGGGTGCCCCAAGAGGGCCCCAAGAGGTGGCCAGGAAGCCCCAAGAGGCCCCCAGGATGCCCCCAAGAGGCTCTCAAGAGACCTCCAAGAGGCCCCAAGAGACCCCCCAGAGGCACCCAAGATGCTCCAAGAGGCCTCGGCGAGAATGCCACATCATTGATTGTACTGAGGTTTTGGCCACATGTTGGCCTCTTGGGGGGGGCACTGATTAAGATGACTCCAAGAGCGCCTGGGAGAGCCCAAGATGACCTCCAAGATGGCTCAAGATATCCCAAGATGTCTCAGAATGGCTCCCACGATGCTCCAAGATGCGCCAAGACCGCTCCAAGACGGCTCCAAGTGGCCAAAGAGCTCCCCCAGGAGGCCCCGAAGAGGCCAAAATCTTAGGATTATCCCGGCAAAGCAACCTAACAGCGATGTGTAGAAGCATATCTGAAAGCATTCCCCTTAAGATTCAGATGAAAATCCAGTTGTAGAATTCTGCTGTTCTCGCAGTCGTAGTCGCATTCGCGATGACAGTCGCAGCGGCAACGGCAGTCGCAGTCACAGCCTCAGCCTCAGCCTGCCTCAGCCTCAGCCTCAGCCTGCCTCAGCCTCAGCCTGCCTCAGCCTCAGCCTCAGCCTGCTTCAGCCTCAGCCTCAGTCTGCCTTCAGCCTCGGCCTCAGCCTCAGCCTGCCTCAGCCTCAGCCTGCATCAGCCTCAGCCTCAGCCTCAGCCTGCCTCAGCATCAGCCTGCCTCAGCCTCAGCCTCAGCCTGCCTCAGCCTCAGCCTCAGTCTGCTTCAGCCTCAGCCTCAGTCTGCCTTCAGCCTCGGCCTCAGCCTCAGCCTGCCTCAGCCTCAGCCTGCCTCGGCCGCAGCATCAGCCTGCCTCAGCATTCAAAATGTGGCCCAGGAATGGAGTTCTGGGAACTAGAAGAACACGAAGTGGCCTACAGTTGGCTCCGGGCATTCAAAATCATGCCCAGGAATGGAGTTCTGGGAACTCGAAGAGCACGAAGTGGCCTACAGTTGGCTCCGGGCATCCAAAATGTGGCCCGGGAATGGAGTTCTGGGAAATCGAAGAGCACGAAGTGGCCTACAGTTGGCTCCGGGCATCCAAAATGTGGCCCGGGAATGGAGTTCTGGGAAGTCGAAGAGCACGAAGTGGCCTACAGTTGGCTCCGGGCATTCAAGAATGTGGCCCGGGAATGGAGTTCTGGGAGGTCGAAGAGCACGAAGTGTGTCTGTTTGCGAAAAACGAGTGCGGCGGCAGCCGCGGCGGCAGCCGTTCCGGGTCCCGCCCAGACCCCCCTGAGGAGTCATGATGCTCTCTTTTGAGACCACTAGAAACCTATCAGCAAGAGCTGTTAGGTAATTATCCCGGCAAAGCAACCTAACAGCGATGTGTAGAAGCATATCTGAAAGCATTCCCCTTAAGATTCAGATGAAAATCCAGTTGTAGAATTCTGCTGTTCTCGCAGTCGTAGTCGCATTCGCGATGACAGTCGCAGCG